CTTGGGCTGGCCCCATTGTGAAATGGGACTCAGTGTCAGGGCTGCAGGCTGGCACTCTGTCCTGCCTGAGAGGAGAAGCATGCATTGCAAATAAAATTTAAAAAAAAAAAAGGAGTAGAAGAAGACCTCAAAGCTTATATGTATCTTACTTTGCTGGGGGGTTGGTCATGAGCCAGTTGCTCTGAACTGAGTCACCATCTGTCTTTGGGGTACCTGGAAAGAGAAAACAACAGCAATGTCAAAATTCCTGTGCTCTGAGACAGCATGAGTGCTGGCACCCCCCCAGGTCATGGAGGTTTCCGGGCCAAGAGTATCTGCGATGATACGAATGCGTAGGCCTGACTGGAAAATACCCTGCATTTACCAGCAGCCCTTAGACATGGTTGTAATGTCTTTTGAAGAGAGTTTTGCTCCCCACCCCGCCCCTAATGCTGGCTCCAGGCATGCAAGCCTCCGGAGCCCCTGGGCTTGCTTGCACCTGGCAGCTCGGACTGCTGCGAGGTACAGGCAGGCAGGCTGCCTGCTGCCCGGGCAGCGCTGCGAGGAGCTGCAAGCATGCTGGGCTGCTAGCCCCGATGGCCAGCGCAGGCAGGGAAGTGCCAGCTAGGCTGGAGCAGGGATAAGAGGAAAGGGAAACACTTCGCTGGGAAAGTCGAGGTGAGCAGGGTGTGATGGGAATAGTGAGATGCTTGTGTGGCTGGAGGCTGGAGATCCTCTACAAGGCTTAGACAACAGCGCTGACACTCTGCAAAAGCTCGCCTTGCAGCAAAGCCCACCAGAAGCAGCCCCTGAAGTAAAGTAAATGAAAGTTGGGATTTAGTGTAAAACAGCAAACATTGTGGAAAAGCCCCCCAAACCCAGCTGTGTTTGCAGATTCAGCTGTGTAAAGTCTCGCATTCCCATGGGCTGCAGCAGGGGAAAATTCCCTCTGAGCGCCTGCAGCCACCCCGCAGCTCTTGGTGCCTGCAAGGGGGATGCCACGGCAGGATGGGGGTCAGGGCTTAGTGAGGGGCATTGCTGCAAGGGGCAGCACCAGACGGGAAGTAAGAAGATGGAGTGGACCAGTTAAAGGGCAGAGAAGGGTGAAGGAGAAAAGAAAGGTGAGAAAGACAAGAACAGAATGGATGGAGTGATTTCAGCCGCTGTTTGTGAGCAACTCCAGGCAGGGCCTTTGTGGATTAGTATTAATTGGGGAACACGGGGTCTATGTCCCTGCTGAAATCAGGGCAAAAGCCCTGCACATAGCCTTGGTAATGAGGAACTCGCAAAGTAAGTTGGTAAGACAGAGCGCGCCAAAAAGCATTATTTTTCCCAGTTTGCAGACAGAGGACTGGGAAAGTGTGGCAAGACTAAACGACCGACTCAAGGTCACAGAGCAAACCTCTGGCAGAGGGGAGCAGAAGCCCAGCCCAGCTGGTAGCTTATGGAGCTCAGCCCTCGCATGCCTTGGGGCCGCCTTGGCTGACAGACTGCCACCGCAAGGCACAGAGCGTGTGTGAGCTGCCAGACGGCTGGACAAAACGCTCCAGCATTTGATACAGACATGAGTAAGAGGTCATGGTCTCCTCTGGGTACTCAAGGGCACTTGCTTGCCATGTCTGAACGTGGAGAAAGTTGTTTCTTGTATCACATAGGAGTGAGGAAAACCACTCCTTGGTTCTTGCCAGCTGGTAAAGGCTTCAAGAAGAAAATGTTCTACACAGATTTAACTCCTTTTTCTGCCCTGTTGCCAGGACCACGGCACATTGCTTCTCCCAAGGTTTTCTTCAAGTCATTTCTCCCACCCTCCAATAAAACACCACTTCCAACTTCTGCTTGCAACGTGCTTTTCATCCTGCAGGTGTATGAACTGGATGGTACCCGGCATAATAAATCATGGTCCGTGGCAACCTATCGAGAAGTGACCAGGCAGTTTGTGAAGGAGCACCCTGACTTTCTTGGAGCCAAGATTATATTTACAGCACACAGGTAGAGGCTGAGCGGGGCTAAGAGCTCCTGTGCACGGCTGGCTACGCTACGGTGGAGGCGGTGGTGGGGAGAGAGGTGTCCAGGCAGTGCCAGGAGAAGCGATGCTGAAGGCTGGGCTGAAGTGCCACAGTTGGTTAGCAACGCCCGCATGCATCATCAGACCCGGGGTGTTGACTCCCAAAGCATTCCCTGGCATGTATAAAAGGCTGAGGATGAGAAATCATCTATATAAGTCTGCGTACGTGCGAAGTGAACAGGGTTAGCTCATGGCGTGCACTGGGAAGACAAGTGTCTGTGAGCCCTGGGTGGGGGAACAAGCAAAGGGAGGGCTGCTTGTGTGCACGCCTGCCTAAGCCGTGCGTGCTCTCTTCCCAAGCTTGGACATACTCTTCCTCTCTGCGGAAACTGAAGCAGTGACAGCAGTGCCCGAGTATGGGCACTCGGTATTGCAAAGGTCCTCGTGGAACCCTGCAAACGCTGTTATCCAGGCAGCCTTTGTACGGTATGTCCGTGCTGCTGTTCGCAAGCAGGCACAAGGCTGTTCTCCAAGTCAGCCAGATGCCACGAAGTCATATGAGGTGATCCTGAGCAAATATAACAGACCTCTCAGAAGCACTTACTCACTCCAGCTCTGCACGATGCCATTTCTAGTTCAGAGCTGGCTTGTCTCTGGCCAGCTTGGGTATGGACAGAGTCTGCCTGCAAAATGCACTGGCATGTTTAAGTCCGATAGGGCTGGAAGAGATCAAAATTGATCTTGAAAGGCAACTACTGTCCCACCTCCCAGCAAAACAGGTGAGAGGAAAAAAAATATTTAAGCATTTTCTCACCATGCTGTTGTGTTCCCTGCTTGGTAGATGGGAAAGCCAGTGAGTCTTAGACAAGCATGCCTCAACTCAAGTGACAGCAGGGTCTAGCCAGGCATTTCCTGGTCATTCAGGGGTTTCCTTTCATAATATCAATTTTCTGCTGCTGTTTCTCTGGAGACCTGAGATTGAGGAGCAACGTGCATTTTGGAAATACCACTGGGGGCCCCGTTTCACAACTCAAACCCAAAGGCAGCAGGCCCATGGGAGTGAGCCTCTGCGCTACTTTCTCTCTCTTGCTCTGTAGGATGCTGAATGTTTCGCAGATTAAAGAAGCCATCGTCACTGCCATGGCACTCAGAGCGCGCTTCCCAGACACCCTGGCAGGCTTCGACCTGGTAACCGTATTTCTTCCATGGCTTTGCATTAACCCCTAAAGGTGCAATATAGCTACATGTGTAATATGGCATATGTTTTATATCAGAGCCAAATCCTCTGATGCTCTACTGAAATCAGTGTAAATGAATTGCAAATCCTACAGCTAAGGATTTTGTTGAGGGTAATTGACAAAATCCCCTGAAAGAATCAGCTCCCTAGTTCACAGCATTGTAATTTCAGTACAGTTGGTACCTCAGTGATATATAGCTGTTAAGTCCCACCATCTTCCAGAGCATGTTCAATAAGACCTTTCCTCTTTCCCCAGGTTGGTCATGAGGATGAAGGTCATTCTTTATGGGACCTGAAGGATGCCTTGACTGTCCCATATTCCCTGGGGGTCAACTTGCCATACTTTTTCCACGCTGGAGAGACTGGTAAGCTTGAGGATTCAAGGCCTGTTATTATTTGCAGAGGCAAGAGGTGAAGTCCTGCAAAGTACAGCAAAGTAAGCCTGGCTGTATCAAGATGACAGCGGGGAGGGCAGGGGTGCATGAGTGTAATCGGTTTTCCCTATGCTTCTCCTAATATCAGCTTGTTGCAGTAGCATTCCTAGATGGCACCTCCCTTACCTGCTCCCTGCTCTTGACTATAGGCATCATGTTGCTCAGTGTCTTTGCCCTATGTATAACATGGAGTCATGCTGCAAGAGTTATTGCTGGTGCAATTCAGCCATTTCCTCCTCAACGCAGCATTCCCCTCCCATCCACAGCAGCAGCAGAATTCCTCAACCATTATTTTACATTTTAAAATTAAGGAATACCTGAGCCAGCCTCAATTCTTAACTAAATACACTCATCAAATTAACTGGTGGTTGCTCTTCATTGCTGGGGCACTATATTATTATTGGCGATATATTATTCAATCCGGATGGTTGGGATTTATCCTATCGATGCATGACAGCTGTGTCTAACTAATGCACCGTGCTTAATACATGTTGACATCTATGGAGAAGATGTCTACAGGTGAACTAGTTACCCTAGGCTCCTTTTATTGCCGTGGACAGTAACAGGTATTTCTAAAGCATGATACATGTCAACCTAATGTACGGGCCATTCCCCAGAAATTATTTCTCTCGCTTGACTGTGAATGGAGACAAGCATGATTAGCTTAGCTGTAGGAGCAATACTGTGGACATCTAAAGCCAGGTGAGATGAGTAGGTATTTCTATGCTGGGAAATGTCCTAGGCAGATTTGAATCCCTATTTCACTGAAAATGCAAAATAGGAACACAGAGCACAAGCAACCCCCTAATCTTGAAACTGAGACACTTATTAACAGAACCATATAGCAGTTTAAGATCTGTTTCCTTACAGCACTGTAGTGATTCTTACCTGTCTCTGCTTAGACTGGCAGGGCACCTCTGTAGACAATAATGTGCTGGATGCTTTGCTGCTGAATACCAGCCGGATTGGCCACGGACTTGCCCTCATTAAACACCCAGTAGCCAAAAACTTGTCTCTGAAGAGGGATATTCCTGTAGAAGTCTGTCCCATCTCCAACCAGGTATGTTGGTAAAAGCTTAGGTCTTGGGGCTGGGACACTGGAATGGGATTTACCACAGTAGCTAGGAGCAGCAGGGAACTAGGGTCAGCTAGATGTTCTGTTGCACCCAGTCTGGCTTGGTTTCCCTTGCAGCCTGTTACCCTGCAGTCTGCTTCACAGACACATGGTGTGTATGTATAAGGCTTGTAATACCAGTCAGCTGAAAATAATTTAAATTCCTATCCAGAGGAACCTGGGAAGGCAGTCCTCCCTTGTGAAGATGAGGCCCAGAGCCAGGGAGGTGCCTAAAGAGATACAATGGAAAATACCTCAAAGTCAGGAGGGCCAGAGGCTGAGAAGCTGGGATTGTAACTGGAAGTCCTTTTGGTTTTGTAGCATTCATAACCAGGGGAAACTCTTTTGCAACACGTTAGCATGGTGTGCATTGTCCCCTTGGTGCAGCAGGAAGGATGCTCTGGGATTGAGATGTACTAGTGTGAGCCTTGAGGGCGAGAACCCTGCTACAAGGTCCAGATGCCCTGGGCTAAATGTGATGGCAAATACATAACCAAAAGACTGTTTCTGAAATGCTCACAGTCAAGTTGTTATAAGCACAAGTTATTCAACCCACTGGCCTTGATTTAGGTGATTAAGAAACCAATCTCCTGTATAGTCAGTGGAGACAAGTAGGCTCCTCCTGCAGCAGTTCAGAGCAGAACATACTCTGAACAGCCCTCTGGAGACTCTTCCTCCCTGATGGCTCCCTGCTGACACAGGCAGCTATAGCAGGTGTGCGATGTGACGGGTGGTGTAACGCCAACACGGCTACAGCAATAACCTGATGTGGTGTTGTCTCCCACCCTTCCCCACCAAGGTCCTGCAGTTGGTAGCCGACTTGCGGAGCCACCCCGCAGCCAGCCTTATGGCTGAAGGGCACCCCATTGTGATCAGCCCCGATGATCCCCCCATCTTTGGGGCAAAGGGCATCTCCTATGACTTCTACGAGGTGTTCATGGCCATTGGAGGGATGAATGCTGACTTGAGGACCTTAAAACAACTTGCACTCAACTCCATAAAGTAAGTTCCTCACCCCTCTCATCTAGCCGTAGTAATGCTAAGAGGACTATCAGCTTACTCTCTGGAAATACACCTTATTTGAATTTTGGACCCAGAGTCTCCTCTGCCACATGAACAGGGCTTCTGTTAATCCAAAGTCTCCTCTGTGTGCCTCCTCCAAAAGCAGGACACAGGGACCTCAGAGGCTCCTCTGCCCGTGCCTTTGAGTGCCTTTCTCTAATCCAGCATTTTAGTTTATATGTCCTTTTCCATCCTTTCAAAGTTGCCTCCAGTGGTTGGTTCTGGGTATGAGAGAAACACTATAATTTTATATCACTTGTCTATTTCCACCCAAATTTGACTTGCAGTGGTTTCTGCCATGGCCCACTGAGGAAACACAGGGGAACAATCTACCAGCATGTAGTTTGGGTGTGTTTAAACACTTTGTTTATCTGGACAACTCTGAATATCCCAAATATTTTTTATATGGTGACCAGGGTCTTTCTCTACATTCCTAGAGTCTTCTCTGCCAAATCCCATCCCAATCCTCATACCAATCCCAAGTCCATGCATGGCCAGGGAGACAACAAATGCTCTTATTTCCTACCAGTTTGGACCAAGCCCAGGGGACACATGAAAGCAACAGCAGTGCTGTCTCTTCTGTACTAGTCACTGGGTGCCACCCAGTGAGTCTCCAGCTTATACAGACTGAGCTGCTTGTCCTTACAGTGCAGGACTCAGTCACTGCTGATATGGCCACGACGCTTCTCATCCCAGTGTGAACCCAGCTAGCAGGAGCTCACGGCTCTTTACACTATGTTACTCTGTGTGGTGCAGGCATGTTCTGCAAGGGTTAATCTGCTGCTGCTTCCTGACTTTTCATTTTGGTCACTGATCTTGAAATAGCTGTCCCCTTGTCTCCTGTCTGATACTGACTTTTCTCTTCCTCACAGATACAGTGCCATGCTATTGGATGAAAAAGCCAAGGCCAAAGAGGTCTGGCAGAAAAAATGGGACCAATTTGTGGCTGACCACTCTGACAACTTTTTGAGGGAGCTTTAGAGGGGAGGAGACTCACCTCAGAAGGCATTTGGCAAGCCAGGCTTATTGCTAAGAGGGGAACTGGAGGTAAAATGGAGCAGTGAGTCTTTACAGCATCAACAAAAGAACATCCCGCTCAAAAGAGTCAAAACAATTAAAAATTGGGGAACTGCTTCTTCCATGTGACCTGAGCAGATGAACAAACCTCAAAGTTTCACCTGGCAATGGGCAATTCTGGTAAGCTAGGCTTAATGCTAAGAATGAGCTGTGCTATCCTGTGAAAGTCATGGACTGGAGGTAAAATGGAGCAGTGAGCCTTTACAGCATCAACAAAAGAACATCCCACTCAAAAGAGTCAAAACAATTAAAAATTGCCAATGACCAAACCATGACATCCTTATTCAGGAAAAACATGCTTTCTAATTAGGGTTAGCAGGAGATTGCCAACATGAGGATCTCTGAATTTTGCCTTATCATTACAAAATGCAGACCTTGTCCGGAAACAGCTAGGACAAACATCCAACCATTTGGGCCACTGACCTTCAGGAGAGCAAGGACTGAAAATGACTCTTGTTATGTTTAACCCTGGGCCTGCTGCCAAAATAGCACTGCTAGGTTGGAGAACCAGTCATAGGTCTGATGTCTGCTATTTCAGGACCTACCATGGCTGGAAATGAGCTGATGGAACTTACTCCCAACACATGTAAGCCTGGTTGCACAGTGATGATAAAGCCAAAAAGAGGTGCCTCACTTCACGACAGTTTTTTTCCTGCTAAATCTTTTCCTGTCCTCTGGTCACAAGCAAGCTAAACTACTTTTCATCTGAGAAAAGAATAACCTGATCCAGCTTAATTAAAACTGTCCCCCTGCCCTGGGCAATGTTAACACAAGCCTCCACATTTACAGGAAGCACCTTTTGATTTCAGGGGGTTCCACTACCAACCTTTGTTGCCTAACTCAGAGTGCAAATTCAGACTGTCAGACAGATTTCCATGTTGGCAGAGAACTACTCTCACACTGTGGATATCTAGTATGTTCACTTGGACCTTTGTAATTTTCAGCTCTGGCCAAAAAGTATGGCAGCAACTATACAATAAATAGTGTCTGGACATGCAGATTCCCTTGCTTAACATAATCAAAAAATATCAGGAGAAGAACTAGTTGAAGGGAGATTAAAAAAAGAAGTGTTAATCAGGATGCTAAATAAATTCAGCAAAATCCTTCGGCATGCATACACCAGTCACACAGACAGAATCAACCAGCATCTCTCCCTGACTTCAGTATAGTTATGCTGGCTGGCATGAGCCAAGGGAGAATTTACAAAAGTCCCTGCTGAAAGACGTCTTTCTCCTCTGAGCCACAGACTTACAAGGGCTGTTGTTTCCTGATCTAACCAGCTTGGGCAAATTGGCTCTCTTTGTCCCAAGCTGCCTGTCCATAGTGTTTATTTCCACTGACCTTGGTTAGAACACCTTAGCAGAAGGCAAACATACTTACTACAGAAGCTGCGCAGCTCATGCATCCCCGTGTTAAATTGTCCACATTTCACAGGCTGCAAGTTCATCTCTAGTTATTCCAAGGGAAAAAAACAAAACAAAACAAAACAAAACCAAAAACTAAACCACTCTACAAACCCAACAACAAAAACCCCACAACAAACCAGAGGTGTCTACATTGCAGAAGCCAGCAACACAAACCACAGAAAGCAAAGAGTGAGAACCCAGTCACACACCTCGCTAAGCACAGGGGCTGGGTGCCTCGCACGCTGAGCCCTTTTCAGCCACAGCTGCCTCCACTCAGGTCTCTCTGCCCACACACCCCACACCTTCCTCTGAAGTGCCAGCAGCTGCTCTTTGCAGGCTGGTCTTTCCTGGGCCTTGATGCAGATTTGGTCCTGGGATGAGCCTTATACCAGAGGAGGAGTCAGAGTACAGCCACCTTTCCTCCTCTTCCTTCATGGGTGTTGCATACCGAGCCCAGTCCAAAGTCCCTGAGCTACGCTTTGGTCGTGATCAGGTTATAAATGCTGACTTGGGAAATGCCTTCTTTGTAATGCTGCCGAAGAAAACTGCTGCAAACAGGTGGAATGGCTGCTAACCAGTGACCAAAAGCCCCCTCCCTCTGAGCCCCTTGATCTTTCAGCTTTGCTATATGTGGATGGAGGAAGATCTTTTATTTGCCATGAGTTGATTCTCCCTTAAGTGAGCCTTTTGGCTGCCAAGGTGAAGCTAATCATTACAGAGCCAGCATGGGAGGAGCTGAGTTCCTCAACACATGTTGACCCATGTCCCTTCCTTTTCTGCCACAGTGGAAAGGTTTCAGCTCTTCGTGCACACAGTCTCTTAAGGGCTTGAACCACCAATGGCCTTTTAGTTACCTGTAGTCCTCCCTCCTCATTACCCGCATTAGCAGCAGGGCTAGATCTTCTATTTGATAAACGCTTGCCAGGACCAGTTTACCTGTTGTGACCAGTTTGTTCTCGCCTTCCTAGGAAAAGCCTGTTGTGCACCTGGCCGTTTATCTACTTTGCATCAGGGACGGTGACATGATGTGACCCAGTGTCTGGAGCCACCCATGAGTGATGCTGTTCGGGATTACAGCACAGAAATCACTGGGGGTTTGAAATCATGCAGGTCTGAGGTAATCTTCAGATGAAGTCCTCAGAAAGGTGAAACTTGACCCTACAGGGTTATATTTGCATTTGTGACTAGCCCAGTGACTCCACTTCTGCTGCAGGTATCCAAGGGTTGGTCAGAGAGCAACTTTCAGGGAGAAACTTTCCCATCCTGATCACACATATTTAAATGTGGACCTGAATGGCATGGAGATGCCTGAATCCCGTGATGTAGCCTTCCTCTGGATCCCTTCTTGAACAGGGCATTGCCATGTGTGGTGACTGCAGCTTCCCAAGAGTCCTCTGGCAATAGACAGACTTTAACCATTTTTAGGGCCTTAGCGAGTCTGACAGGAAGAGGGCCAGCCTGCTTTACCCCTGGGTATCAACTCCTTCTTAGGGTGTGCCTTAGTTCAGCAAAAGGTGCGAACTGAGAAATCCAGACTGTATCCTCAGCTCTCTAACTCTAGGTAAGCAAAAAATGAGGGATTTAGGCTGGACTGCAGCAGTTAAGAAAGATCAATCTGTTCCGGTATCCCCAAAGTTTTGGGTAAATTTGGCTATAGGGCTTCATTGGGACTCAGCTCTTAGCATTCGCAGTAACATCTCAAGTGCATTCCCTTACCCTCAGTCCCTTGGCTCCCTGCTCACATTTGTTGGCAAATACACTGCATATAATGCTTTCTTGACTGTCTCTTTCAAAACATAGCATATATTCAGTTTTTTAAACCTGTTTTAATTGTGGGGTTTATTTTTCCTTTTTTTTTTTTTTTTTTTTTTTTTTTTAGAGAGAACTGGGGATACCTGTATTTGATGTGAGGTTTTAATCTGGAATGTGCACTGGAGGGGGATGTTTCACATCACTCATCCTGGCGTACAGTTATCAGGGAGTCTGAAATGTCTTCACAGCATGCTGCAAAGAGCAATTTGATCCAGAGGGGATAACTGCTATGGAGTCAAAACCGTGCCACCTAGCAGAGACATGACACAGGTCCTCCAGCCCCCTCTTCCCCTAACCACATGGCAGCTGCATCCAGCCTAGGGTGGATTCATATGTGTTTTCATACAAAGACCACGGGTGCGATGTATGCTACCTCTCCTCCTATTACAGTTTGGTACCATCTCTGTGCCAGATCCAGTATGGGAGAATAAAGGATCTACTGAAGGTCATTTTACCTGCTTTTAGCATGATTTTAGCAGAGGGAAACAACAAGAAGATTAAATGCTACGTGACCAACCTGTTCTTTTCAAGGCTGGCAAATGCCTCATGCAGCACCAACTAACTACACAGTATAGCTTGTGGATCTTTGCCCAAAGTACTGGTGGTGGGCATGGGAAGAAAGGATCAGCTAGAGAACTTGAAAACCTGAGATGAAGGAGGTATTTAGACAAGCAGAGCTGGTGGCCACAAGGGAGGTGGGAGGCTGAGTAGGGTAGACCTAAAGGCACAGAAAGAGCCCCCTCTTTGGTCTCTAGACAGATTCAGGAGCAAGGAAGGAGAGTTGAAATTCATGGAAGTTTCTGTGCTACTTACTTCAAGCAGCCATAGGAATATGTCAAGCCTTATGCCTGCTCTCTGCTCCGTCGGTCTCTCCCTGTGGCCTCTTCAGGTTCAATTATTTTAAACAGGAGGTGGATGGAGCTTTGTTCGCAGCACGCCGTGTCACAGGTCTATCGGTGTTTTGTTGCACAGCAGCTCAGACTGCCTTTGGGGCACTTTAACAGATGAAATGTTTGCCTCCTGGTCACTCACTGGCAGGAAATATCTGATCCAGCACTAGTAGTTGCTATCAAAAATCATAAATAAAAATAAAAACAGAGGAGTAAAGTAGCTGGTTGAAAATAGAGATAGGCCCAAGCGAGCAGCTGGATCTATACGTCATGTGAGTCTCCATCACTGCAGTGGGACTACGCAGATGCCAGATGCCAAGCAAAGCCCACTGGCTGTAAAACACAGGGCTACAGAGGTGTTTTCCACCAGCTCCCCAACACTCAGTCTGCTTCAGGTTTTTCTCCTATAAGTCTCTGAATTTGTCTCCTCACAGGTAGCAGAAGGACATTTCTTTGGCCACAAACTCGTAGCTCTAATTGGCTCAGTACTTAATTCCTTTCTTTTCAGGCTTGCAGCAGTTGCAATCATAGCAGGTCTATCAAGTGTTTTCTGTCTGCTGAGGGACAGACAGGTGAAGGATCTGCCTCTCAATTCTTCTGGCTTGTCATTTTTATCAAGCTGTGTCCTCCCCCTTGGTCATTACAGGATAAGAAAGGCATTTTACTGTATTTTCTCAACCTTTAGCTTGTCCATCATTCCACAAGCAGGCTGCAGCAGAGAAAGAGAAGAGATAAACCGAGGGGGGAAGGGTTGGTTCAGGCCATTAGAGCCTCTGTGGTAAGAAAAGAAACCGAAGGTATGGCTGCATTTGAGGGGGATGTCAGAAGGTCAGGAAGGGGGGGGTG